AAAGTAGGAGGTAGTGAAAGGCAACTTCCTGTAGCTCCAACAAAGGTGAAGAGAGGTAAAAGCATACTGCCTTCTAATGGAAAAAGAGGATCAGAGATGATGTTTTACTTTTAGTGAAAGGGGGAATACCCAGTGGTTTTAAACCTCTTTCCCCCCATTTTGACTCTTTCTTTCAGATCACAGATGGAAAAAGTAGAGCAGAAAATTGCTTTGCCCAAAGCCACACACTGGCAGCAATTGAACTAGAAGACAACATTGGTTTAAATGGAAAATGTGCAATATATTCATAGTATTTGGGCTATTCTAACTGCTGTTTCTTTGTCTTGTCCACATACACCATTTACTGTTCAGCTGTAATTGCATGGCACTTCTGGTAACAGAATCTTTTGAGAATCTCAGAGGATTTCCAAGTTCTGAGTTGCTTTCAAGAAGCTTCAAGAAATGAAGAAGGAATAAATAAGAAATACCAAATTCATCAAGTTTTGGGTGCTGTTTCCCCAAGAAAAACATTAAGAAGGAAGCTCTGCTTTCTGTTCTTGTCCAGCAATTGTGACTCTGATGTTTAGAATAAAGCAGCTGGTGGATCTCCCAGACAACCCAGTGCTGTCCCACAGTGCTGTGCAATACATTAGATAGTGATGGTCATTGTTTTGTTCCATGTATGGTCTTAAGGATCAAGACACTGAAAACAAAAATAGATAGCCATTTATTAGATGATAATTGAGATGCAAAGAATTTAAGAAATTAAGTCAGTCACAACAGAGTTTTGTGGCAGACCTCAGGTAATGAATGCCTGTGCATTTGTGGAGACCACTGTAGCAGTGGCATACTGCTACTCCAGCTTCCAAAGAGAAACAATGTGTTTGAAGGAGTCCATAGAGAAGACAGGAACAGAAACTAAAAGCAAAAAATAATGGGAGCTTAAAAGAGTCATCCCTCCTTCTCCAAAAAAGCTGTTTTATACCAGAGGTGAGACAGAGGTCCAGCAGATTGTACTTTTAAATCCAAGTAGATGTGAAACTTTGTTCTCGAAGAGGAGCTAAAGAGCAGTTGTTGCATTGAGTCACAATGAAGAATTTTTGTGGAGCTTTTGTGGTAAATGAGATCAGACATCACAGATGCATTAAAAGTCCTGGTGAAAAGCACCACAAAGGCTGGCTGATATCCAGCAGCCCATCAAGTGGCTGCCATTTCAACATGGGGAAGCAACTGTCTGCAGAAACTGTTATGTGCAAAATCTTGTTACAGGCAAAAAGAAATCCACCCTATGTTTAGAGTCACACCAAATTTATTTTAATTGAAACCGTAGCAATTTAATAAAATAATTATTAGCAGTCCAAATATAATTATTGCAGAAAAAACAAAGGAAATAAAAATAAAGAAACTGTACATAAGGTCTCACTAATAATAATATGGTAAAAATTGTTATGCATGCACTATTTAGTACTTACCCTCACCCCTCTTCCTGGTGTCATGCTTGACCTTTCACCTTCTTGTGTTTCCACCTTGTAGAGGGAGCACAGTGGATCATCGGCATCTGGAGTTCTGTGCCTGCACAAATAGAATGTTGATGTTTATGATTTCTTCTTTCTCTCCTTTTTTTGGCAATATCTCTCACTAAGGGTTCTTTTTATACATTTTCTAATAAAGTTTTACTCCTTGCTTTTCTTTAATGGCCTGCAAGGATGTATTTTTCTTTCTGTTAATCTTAAGTGGTTTGCTATATACTCATTCTTTCTTCTCTTTTTTATCCCTAAGAATAGTTTTGCCCAGCTCCAGGTTTGTATTTCTTCAACTGACCATTGGCAAGTTGTTTATAGCCTTGGAGTGTCCAGTGCCAGCCTGTACCCCATCTCTTACTATCCCATGCCTCTACTTTACACTGCAGTTGGTGTCTTCACTTCTCAAAGTTCCTGCTGGTTCAATAGGCCTATATTTCTGTACCCTGTAACACCCTGTTAGAGTCTTACATATTTAATTCTACACAGAATAAATACTAATTATTAGTATCTGTATAACAACTGTGGTTACACATAAAAGTAAAACAAATTAGCCATAACCTCCTGTCCTTAGAAAAAAAATTTGTTACTGCCAAATCAAATAAAACCAAAGAGAAGCCTGAGGAAAGTTCCTGTAATAAGCCTCCATCCTGAGCTCTTGGAACACTTGGGACAAGGCCTGTGGACTGCAAATGTATTGCTACTGGCAGTAGCAATACATTTGCAAGTATTACAGGGCTACGTGCTGTTTATTAATTTCCAATTCTGGATTAATATTTGTATGTTGTAAATTCATATGTTGCATACTCTATGTAGCAGCAGAGGTAAAAAATTCCAGAAGGGGCATGGGAAGGAAGCAGGAATACTGCTGACTAGAAAACAGCCCCTGAACTCATTAGTGAGTGTTTATGAGCCCAGTTCATAGTCCACACATGCTCAGCTTCAACACACTGGGGTGTGCACTGCAAACAAGGTCACAAAAACCTGATATTGCAAATTCCTGCCTGGCTGTTGAATTGGAGACATAACAGCATAAGGACAACTCCTCACTTTATAGGTTATTTCAAGGAAGTGCGGAATAGTAAGCATCTTCTAATGGACATTCTCTAAGTATAGAAAGACATTCTCTAAGTATAGAACAGGATAATTATATGAGGTTTTGTCTAGTCATATTACAAAAACTATTTAAAGCAGAGTCAGGTCATCTGTTTAAAGCATATATTCATGGTTGAAGGGAATAAGCACTTGGCTTAGAAAAAGTAATTTTAATCAATTTTTTTATCAGTAGGGTCCAGCATGTTATTTAGAAATGGCTTCCTTCAGTAAATGGATTGTGAATCAATAGTAGATATAAATAAAGCAGTACAAAGGGAACAGCATTCAACAAGCTGCCAATACCTGGAGCAGAGGATGGCAGAAATCAGTATTCCAAGATGGATACACAAATAAATCAGAAATGGGCAGATAATACATAAATATCCACCTTTTTACGAAAATTTCAGAGTTCTGTCTGGCCCTAAGAACCAGTGAAATGTACATTAGTTTTTATCTGCTTTATATGACAGACTGCTATGAGATAGAGTTTGGTATGAAGTCTTTTTTTCACTAAACATTTTCAAGCTTATCCCTCTTAGAAACCTTAGAGTTCTTTAAATATAATTAATTGCCAGGCTGCCAAAGATCTTTCTGGAGACAGGAGGTAAATTAAAAGCTGCAGACTTTGTATTATGTCTCAAAGAATCAATTCTCAAGATACACTAAATACCCACAATTCCTGTAAGGTCTGTGAAAAGTGGCATTACTCAGCACTTTTTAGAATTTGACCTCCAACAGAAAGAGGAATTACAATGTTTTTTCAAGCACACAGATCATAATGAATTTGTATTAGTTATTTGCATCAGGACAATATTATTTAAATCTTGCTAGTAGGAACTTTGAACATGACTCATACTGTGTCTATGATAACTGTTAATTATTAATGAATAAATATGTCATGTGGGTCCTAATAGCTAATATTTCCAGGCCATTTGTGTAAATGGTTGTTTTCAACTGCAACAATGTCAGTTGCCAGGAATTCAATATCCCTATTTATTTAATAATTATTAAGCATATATTATGCTAACCTGAGAAAAAAAATCATTACTCTCTTATCAAAACTGTAAGTTACTTATCTGTTTAAAAATGTGATTCTCATGGCATAGTTTGAGCCTACAGATTATACATTCAATGTTTTGTACAAAATGAAGATAAGGACAGAGTATTTGTAACTACTGGCCTACAATTTAGGATTGTGCAAGCTGCCATACACACTAACCATAAGGTTTTACATTTCTTCCAGAGTAATTTTTTATTCAAATGACAATTCTGGATAATTGCTGCAAACCATATAAATGTCTGATATCACTTTGAACCCTTCTGAACCATAATGCTGCATTAAAAAGAGAAACTTGATTCACAGGATGAACACATTTGTATCAGTTTTGAATTTGCCACGTTTTAATATAGCTGTTCTGTTCTTACTGCCTTTCCAGACAGAATTTCTCATGATATCTTCTTAGCACCATCTGTTAATAATGTTTATAAAAGAACTGCATAGGGGGTCAGCTGGGAAGGGAGCCCCAAATGTACCAACACTGCCTATAAAAGGAAAGCTAGTCTCTGCCTAGCAGCTTCAATGGACAAAAAGCTGGAAGGAAGCAATGGGGGCAGAGGGAACAATGAAATGGCAATGTACATTGTACCATCTTTACTTTTGTTTTCATTTGAATGTTTCTGTTCTTTTCCTGAGGCTCTGTTATGAAAGAATTGAGTAGACAGCAAGACCACAGTAACAAGGACATAGACCATAGCAGGCAGCCTATCACAACACATCAGAGATTTCAGAATGCAAACTTCAAGCAAGCAATTCAGTGATACTGCTGGTTTCTAGATGTGCCTCACTTATTCTTCCCTGCAAAGCCCATGATCAGTCCTGTACTGGCTTCAGTCTCCCATCCTTACACACTCCAGTTGAGGGGGGTGGACTTTCTTATTTAGTACTTACTCTCTAAGAGGCTAAAATTCAGTGAATTTGTTTTCAATATATTAGTTAGTTAGAAAGCATTGTCATTTTATAGATAGAAAACATAAAGGTAAAAATTGATGTAAATACTTCTAAGGTATTCTTTTTTATCTATAAACCACTTCTTCAAGCTGTACATGTAATACTTTTTTTCCTTATTTTTTAGTTAAAAATGATTGCATTATCCCAGTTTTGTTGATAAACATTTTGAATTATTGTGTCAATATTAACAAATATTTTAACCACACCTCAGATGTGTATGAGCAAAAAACACATAGTCATTATAGCAAAGGAGTCTCAGGCATCCTCCTATTCAATAGGATTGGCAAAACCAGTATAGATGAGTGAAAGCCTTTTTTAAACTATCTCCCAAGGCAATCAAGCACTTTAATGCTTAGGAGAAAAAAAAACAAAACAAAACAAACAAAAGACACCAGTACTGTATTTGGGATACAATTTATTTTTTCAAAATTCAATCAGGTGAGTGTAAGGTCCATTTGTATCCAGTTTTAACACCTGCCTGTTTCCATATGTGCCATGCTTGACAAGAACACCGGCCTCCATGCATTTGGCATTGGCAGCCAGTTCTTTTTCACACAGAGTCACAAACTGAGAATAAAGTTCCAACCCTTTTTCTTTTTCAATGTTTGCATGGTACTGCATCTTTCTTCCCTTTGGTTTACCACCTAGGGTAGCTTGTGGTATGATGAGTACGTCGCCGGGTAAATCAAGAACAGAGACAAACTCGCCGTTTTCATTTTCACTTAATTTAACATTCAACAGCGTATCGACTGCAAATAAAAATAAACTAAGAGTTAGTATTGCTGAAGTGAATTAAACAGAACACCATAAACAAGAGCCAACAAATATTTTGACAAACCACTGAGTAAAAGAAACTCTTTATTAATGAACTGAAACATGGACAATCAATAAATATTTAACCAACTAATACATCTGAGTATTGTGATGAATGTGAAGGATATTAATATTATATGTCAAAAGTTCTAGTTTTGGGGGAAGTGATTGGCTATCCAAAATCCTAAAGTTGATTCTAGTTGGACACCCCCAAAAGAACCCAGGATGCAATTAGTGAGCCTTCCTTAATTGCTTGATACTCAAATAGGCAGCATTTGCACAACACTCCACAATGTAGGACACACCATCCTCAGTGCACTTTGGAGAGCGTTTTGCCCTGACTCTCTTTTCATTCTGGTAGCAGCAGTTTGCAGCAGGACCCAGCACTGATCTGAGCTGAAGGCACAGCTCCACAGTTTGGTCTCAAGTAGAGCAAGTGTCCTTCAATGCTCCACTCTGAGACATGCAGCTACCAGTTTGTCACTTGAGACAGGAGGTGGGCAGGAAAGTCAGATGCAATTTGGCTTATAAGCCAGACCACAGAAACTTGCAAATAAAATCAATGCATTTACTAACTTTAGATTTTCTAGTGTTTCTGTAACAAATCAAATCATTACCCAACTCTGTAAAAGCTGGGAGGATACTAGTCATGCCTCCAAACCCTAAACATAAATGTTTAATGTTGTTAGAAGCAAAAACAGATGAGTTGTGATTCAGGAACCAAACCCACACACTTAAACAGATTCAAAATATATTTAGGAAACAATATTCTCTAAGAGAGGCACTCAAGAAGGATGGTCCTAGATGAATCTCCTGACAGGAAACAGAACTTTCTTTTTCTGGCCTGTTTTAGCTGCCCCACAGCTGAAAATATAATTATTCTCAAGTAACATTCTCAGGGAACTCTCACTAGCACAAAATAAATTTTTATATCATAAATATTTAGCATTATAAAAGGACTGTGCCCTCCAAGACCCAGAGAGAATGCCCCCCAGGAGTTGCTCTCAGCAGTTTTAATAACACCTGTACTTGTGCACTGTTGGTCTCAGCCAGCAGCCTGAAATAGACTGAAATAGTAAAATATTGTGACATAATCTTTAGCCAAATCACTAGTATCAGCCAGCCACAGAAAAGGGGCACTTTTATCTGGAATATGCATCATCACAGAATTCCCAGGGGAACCAGTGCTACTGATGGAGGAAAGGAGGGAGAAGAAATGACATAAAAGTAAAAAAAACAAAACAAAACAAAACAAAAAAAACAAACAAAAAAAAAACAAAAAACAAAAACAAAAACAAAAAAAAAAAAAAAAAACAACAAAAAAAAAAAACAAAAAACCAAAACAGAACCAAAAAAATCAAGCCAAAACAGCACCAGGTAAAGACAGAAATTGCTACTATTTGACCTTATACACAGCATCTTCTCTGTTTCAATGTAAATGTTAAAGTGCATATGGAGAAGAAGACAAGAATTGCAGACATTGCTGTTATTGCTTCTGAACCAGAAAACTGCTCATGCTAACAGTGGATGTTACCACTGAAGTGAAATGGCAAAGACTGTTTCATTATCCACACAACTCCCTCTACCGGCTATGATTTGAAATATTCTGCACATATAGTGAGATCAGTGGAAAAACACTTATCAAATCAAGCCATGAACTATTTGAAATTCAGTTCTGTCCTGGACTGAGGACAGAAGACAAGTTATTGCCTGACACATGTAATATGTTAAACAGCAGGTGCAGCATTTTCTTTGTTTGCCAGAATGTTATCAGGGGAATTTGTTTTTTATGTTGGTCATGAACAGACAGACAAAGAAACAAGAAACTGTCAAAAGAAACAAGACAGACCAAACTCTTCTTTCGGCCAGGTAATTGAGTTAGAATAATGCCATTTCATGGCTTACCCAAATGGCTGCTACCTTCTCTGCCTCAACTGCTTTTCTTCCTTTTCAAACAATACAATAATGTATATGGATTATATCATACCAATTTTTGGGACAAGATCCTCATCAGCACCTTTGAAGAAGCATATGTAGATAACAAGCCCTCTCTGGATCTACAAAAGATTACAGAAAACGATGTCAATGTTTCTCATTATCTACAATGCATGCTTATCATTAAAGCAGTACCCAAAATTACAAAACCGCATAACAAAGAGTAGTTTTAGTTATTTAGTACAGCTTCAGACATTGAGTTGACACCCCACACTGTGGAAGATAAGATATATACTCATTATTTGCAAAATGCTTCTACATACAATTAAGACAATTTATTAGCTCCATGTGAAGTCAAATTTAGTTGGAATGTAGAGTGTACAGTATTAACATGGATGAGGTGGCAAGATGAATTAGTATACTTAAATCCAGCATAAGAAATAATTTAAGCTTTTTTCCTATCAAACTTACAGCTAAAATCAATTTTCAGTATGAGCTATGATATTATTTCCAATTATGAAACATGAAAAACACCACAGGACTTTGGTCAAAGAACTGAATTTTATTTTGATGTTGAAAGTAATCTAGTACAATATAATTCTGAAAAAAACATGGAGTCTGTTAATTAAATATTTAAATATGATGACCAACAACTGTGAAGTTGTTCAGAGTTCTATAAAGTTGTTCAAACTACTATTTATAAGCCTGGGTAAAATCTAACTGGCAAAATGGAACTTTTCAGCTGACTGGTATAAAGAAATGGATATGCCACAACTTCAGCATTCAGAGCAACTACTTGTAAGAACTACGTATTTGAGGGAAGAATTAGGCCTCACCTGAGGAGAAAGCACAAGAAAACGCCTGTGTAGCTTTTCTGCTCACTTGGTTAGTCCATAAGGAATGCACATGCACCAGCCATGCTTTATTAAGCCAGACTGACAGGCTGTGCAGCCAGCAGCACCTATGTCTCATGCACGAGTGTACCTGCATGGCTTAACTCCTCTGGGAAAAAACCCACAGCATTCACAGGCAGACAGGATCCACAGACAGTATATAAAGAAACCTTCCCACTGCCTTGTCAAGAATAAGTATCTTTTTAATTTGGTTTGAGGAAACAGAAACGTCAACTTGTGAAATACCACTGAAGAGATGTTAAATAGATTGGCACAGGAAGGAGTTATTAATGCCATCAAAGCAAAAGGATAGAAAATGTGAGTAGCTTATAAAAATACTTAGCAAAAAAAATTTCCTCTATTTGTTTTTTCCCCAAATGATAAAGGTTTTTGGTAAAGAAATCTTAGCTATACACATGAGATTTTTGTCCCTTTGTTATTGCAGAGATTAAACAAAATGCTCAAGGCAATGACTGAGAAAAGCTATGCCTTCTCAACTATTTTTCTAGTGACTAACTTCTGAAAAAAGAGAACACTCTTCCTAGCCAAAATGTCACATGCTGAGAACTTTGAAAAGCTTCAAATGACTTCTTTTAAAATACTTTTTTTGGTACAGTCTCACAGCAGTAACAATATTCTGCAAGCAGCTCATTTTAAAGACACAAAAAGTATGTAAAGTGACCCCTACAAGTCATAAGGCCAGACAGATAAAGTAAAATACATCATTATTTTTTCCAGCCTCTGCTGTTATTTGATGTTTGTTTTTGAATAAACCATTTATCACAAGATGAGACACACATATTGAAGAAAATTAGAAGGATGGGAGGTTAAATGAGAAAACAATTAATTCAGAGACAAGTTAAAGCTGAAAGAGGATGCTTCTATTTATACTGCATGTTCATGGTCTTCTAGAACACTTTACAACCATGATAAAGTTGAAAGCTATGCACCTATTAGTAAGCTGAAACTTATGGTTTCAACTATGACTGAAAACTGTGGTTCAACACGTACAGCCATGTTTCAACCCCTGGTTAAGTCCTATTTTATTCTTTAGTTTTCTTAATTGAATAGAAGATGTAAAATTAAATGCAATTACAAGACCTAACCTAATAATAACATGTGTCAGACTGACCTTATACCAGTCTTCCAAGTGTCCTAAGACTTGTGCTCGTTGTCAATGTAATGTGTAAACTTTCTGAACCAAAGCAAAACCATTGCCATTGCTGCAGCTCCTCTGTAAGCTATCAAAGCCTAGCTGACTGTTCCTCAGACCACTATTTAATGCACAAAAATTCAAGCAAAATAACACAAATAAGAATATCATAAATTCAACATGCTGGTGTGTAAACAGCCACTGCAAGGAACCTACTCAGTGACCGGACAGGAAAGCTGTGCTCTATAAATGCCTACATAAATAAACCAGCAAAGCAAGATACTGTGCAACACTGGCATTTATTATACAGTGTCTTAAGAAATTATCAGATCAGGCAACCTGCTGAACCAGGTCATGAAGGGCTGAAGTACCCAGCCCCAATGCCATACAGACAGCCTTAGCAACAGTGTCCAAATGCTGCTTTTTAGCTCTTTTGCAGGAAAAGACAAATAACTGACTCCTTTCTCACCCTCCTTACTAAATACATTCATCTGTACTTTTTTCAGGATTTCATTAGCAAAACTGAAATATATTCTGCAAAATATTATCTCCACTTTTTACTAATTTTTCCTCCAAGAAAATGCAGTGGATAACAAAATCTTTTTCATTCTTAGAAAGTCAGTTTGTGAAACTACCTTACATAAATTATTCTGTGACATTTCCATTTCAAGTTCAGATTTACTACCCTCTGGGAAGATTTCTTCATATTTCTTATATTCAGTGAAGCAGAGAGATGACATCATCTGCCACAGGTCACAGAACAAGTCTGTGCCTGGTATTTTGCACCTCTTTTTGCCATAGTAACCAGAAAACAAGTCAAAGGAAATAAGATAAGGAAAAGACAGTTTTCCTTGCATGATGTGTAGGCACTTATACTTTTTAGCTGAATATTCATTTTATGTTTCTTTTCTCTCACAGTTACAAAATACACCAAACCTTACTTTATTTCACCTCTACCTTTACAAGAAGAATTCCTTTTTTCTTCCTATTTTGCTGTATACATAAACCTTTTATGCAGGGTATATAATCAAAATTCCCCATAAACAAGACATCCTATGTGCAGTAAACCTCAACAGGCCAAAAAACTCAATCATGAAAACACAATGAAGGCAGAGATTCATGTATAAAGTACACTCCTAACCTTTTTGAAGATAAGGAACATCTGCTCTGAAGTTCCTAAAGTACCTACAAGGGTCTCTTACTGCTCAGAAGCTATTCAAAGCCACCTACAATATATGCCACTTATAGTATGCTAGAAATGTTACAACATGAGGTCCTACTTGTAATTGGTCATAGAACATCAGGAACACACTGGTTGATGTAAATAATAGTTGATGATGTCTGTACTTTTTTATTTTTTTGGTTTTGCATTGACATGCAAAAACAGGGAGTAAAATTACCCTACCAGAAAATGTCAGCAGCAAAATTTCCTTCCAATAACCTCTAAAGTAGTCGTACTAGAGAAAAAAAAACAACAAACAAACAAAAAAAAACCCAAAAAACCTTCCAATTGGCTTTTTTTCTGAATGGTGACTACTTCTTGTTAAAACAGACTTCTCTTAAAAAGCCCCAGGTACTCGGGAAAGATTTCCAAGTACCCATCTCAAATATTAGTGAGGTTCATGTCTGAAAAATATCTGCTGGAGACCACCCAAATCTCTTTCAGACTCCTTTAGTGATATCTATTACTTTCCTAGTGATTTTACAAATTAGAGCGATAAGCTACATAACCTCCTTGCAGCAAAGTTAATCATATCTCTCAACCACAACATGTACCTTTTAAAATAGTTTAAAAGAAAGACAGCAAAATTACATTTCTGCTTTTCTTTACTAGATCTACAATTACTTCTGTGATTAGCAAGCCAGAAATAGATTATTTCTCCTATAGTTAATTTATGCTGGGCTAAGTGAATTTTATGGTAATTAACCTTATACTGAGAGGCTAACAATGCAGTATACAGAGACACACTACATCTGTGAAACACAGTAGCTCTGAGATCACACCTACTTCCTCCCAGTAAAACATTCTGGCTTCCCAGACCATACTGCAGAAACTAGTTCTGCTAGATCCACCTGCCCCTTCTGAACCAAGAGAGAAATGTCTTAAGGCTAATATGAAAGGCAAAGAGCGTACTCTTTTCAGATGTGCTGAATGAATGCACAAACCCTTTAACCATGCTAGAGCTTTTACTTTTTAAAATTTATGGAAGTGACTGTATTAAGCCCCTTCTGTTGTAACAGTCTTTAAAAAGGGCAAAAGGCCAAACAAAAAAACCCATGGGCTAAATAGTTGACAATGGGCAGAAATGAGTTATTCTAGTGTAGGTAACTCACAAGCAGTGACAAGTACAGCAGGTCAGTGCATTCCACAGGGCAGCCTTCGTGCTTTGGTAAAGAGCCCTGGGCTGCATGCACAGCACATCGACCAAAGAGTCTGCAGATTCCCCAGCAGAAGACTGTGGGAGGAAAAGGGGTAAAATACAATGTTTTCCTTAACGTGAGTGGTGGTCTACATACTAAATTTCATTTTTAGTTAGTGTTCTGGAAACAAACAAACACACCAAACAACATCAGAACTCCTGCTGCCACAGTCCCATAGCCCTACCTCGCCTTTAATCTCCAAGTTAACACTATCTCACACCAAACAAAGCCGACAGCTGAGCCCACCACCAGCTGAGCCACGGCTGTAGTGTTTCTGTGAGTGTATTTAAGAAAAGAAGGAACAACACAGGCAGAAGGGAAGCGTGTAGTCGTGGAGCAGTCATGATCCTGAAGAAAATTCTGCCTGCGGAGGACTCTGTGGAGCACAGGGAGAGAGAAGGAGCAGCAAAGAGAAAGCGCTGTGCGCCTCCTGCTGCTTGTCCCTTTGCCGAAAGAGCAACCTTTGCTGACAACCAGGGGGCGAGGAGAGCGCTCTGCAGTGGAAACGAGACGAGGCTGGAACACGGCCCGAAGCGCAGCCCAGCCCGGAGAAGGAGCGGAGGCTGCTCCCCTCAATGTCCGAAGGACCCCCCCCTCTCCCCGCCGGCGCACACGCGCAGGGCCCGGAGCGCTTTCCCGCCGGCCGCCCCGCTCGGCTCCGCTCCGCTCCGCGGGGGGAAGGCGCGATGCCGGCGGCGGGGGGCGGCCCGCAGCCCACGTTACCTCCACCCACTGCGCCTCGGAGCCGCTCTCGGGCGGCCGCACCTGCAGGCGAGCGGAGACGCTCTGCTGCAGCAGGGCCCGGGCCCGCGCCGGCCGCGCCGCCGCCATGGCGAGCCCGCAGCGCTGAGGGCGGGGCCGGGTCACGCCTTTCCGGCACCGGCACCGGCACCGGCACCGTCTGGGGCCCGCGGGTCACGGGCGGCGGGGAGCGTGAGCGGGACCTTGTGAGCATGGATAAACGGAGGCTTATGATCTGCCCTCCCTATGGAGGCGGCTGAATACAAGCTTTGGAACAGAATTAAACAATTTCTACAGCTCTACTTACCGATGCCCCAATAGCTAGCAGGAAAGCGGGCTTTGGTATATTTTGATGAGAAATGAAAGATCTCCTTGTCTTTTGCTGGGGAAATGTTACATGCTTGTGATAAGAGCGGCATGCTGTGTAGTTTATGCATGGGAAAGAACGTCTGAATACTGTTTGTTATTTCTTCTGTTCATTACTTGTTTATGCTTCAGGTGGCTGAGATCATTCTATCAAGTTGGCGTATTTCTCTTCAGTGGTACTGCTTTGGAGCAGAGGGAACAGAAAACACAGTTAAAAGGGATCTGGATATCTAGTGATCCAAATCATCTGGGAAAAAGAAGTGCATAGTTTTGAAATGAGCTCCCACTGCTAATGGGAGAGGTTAAAATATTGCAAGTGGTTGTTTTATTATCTTCCAGGTTTTTGGCTACATACCCTGATACTCCTTGAACACCTCCAAAACTGGAAGAGTTGTGTCTTTCTCCCATACATGAATTCTGAAAGAGACAAGTTTTGAACAATACTGCATTCATTCACGTCAGGATAGAATGATATGGAATTCAGTATATCTCTCCAAATTAATTTTATGACTGGAGATTTCATTTTTACAACAGTGTTTAAAAATATTTTTTTAAATAAAAAAGTTAATGTATAGCAGTGTGAGTAAGAATCTGAATTTTAGTACCTGGAGTCTGTCATAGAGTGAGATTACCAAAGATCCCTATTGAACAGCAAGGGCCAATATGCACTTCTGAATAATCAGTGTTACACATAGGGATATATATAAAGGAAGATTCTTGATGTGTGTTCAATGAGGTTGCTCTTCCCAAAGCAAACCTTCCTGGAAGGATGCGAAATTGCACTAGGTAGTGTAGGAGTAACTCATTTTTTGTACGATGTTTTTATTCAAACTTGGCTAATTTTATTTAAAGTACCTTCTGTTCGTTTACTTGAAAGCTGTATCCCCAGACTCATTAAGAAGAGTTTAATGAGGTAGAAATCCAGTTAAAATGAGAGGGTTTTCCAATATTTGCGATAAAAATTGATTGTTAAGGAAAATGGATTTTGCTTCAGTCTTAGCAAATTATAACAAGCAGATTATGGAGGGTTATTAGTATATAAAGATATTGATTGTTATTTGGTGCTGTGCCATTATTTACACCAGGGTATGATGGAGAACATTTATTCATGTGCAAGTTTCAATACAAATGCATGTGAAATATTGCATAGAAAAAAAGAGTATGACATCATTGTTTATGTATGGATTCTTGGTGGAATTATGTTGTATTTTCCTTGGGAAGCCAAGTAATTCTGTTGCACCTTGAATTTCTTAAATCTTACTGGCTTATTGTTAGATTAAGAGCCTCTCTTTTTAGGCCAAGGAATGATAGTAAACTTGTTGGATAAATTTTAGGCATGGATTTGGATTTGACTGTGGGTTTTATATTAAAAAAAAACCCCACATCCTGACATCTGAAGCATATATCCATGCATAAAATATATTGGTATTTTTATCAGGTACTATATAAAGACATTTTTTCTGCATGTTTTGGATTTGACAGTTGTCCCAGAATATTTCCTGTATCTTCTCTGCTTGTTGTCACCAGATCTGAAAGTAGGTATTTTGAGAATGGCACCCAGAAGACATTTCTGGTTATTTTCAGATCATTTCTCTTTCAGAGGGGCAGATGGCAGTCTCACAAATTGCAGCGGAGGTGTGTTTTTTCCCTACCCTTTGTGGGAGTGGTTAAGTTCAGGGAGTGTTTGGACAACACTCTCAGGCACATGGTGTGATTCTTGTGTCCTGTGCAGGGCCAGGAGTTAGACTTGAAGATCCTGATGGGTCCCTTCCATCTCAGCATATAGTGTGAATCTATCATATTTGGAACAAATCCTCTTGTCAAGAAGTGGGTGGATGCTGGAAGGAAACTCCACCTGTGTGGGGACTCGGCTTTCTCCTTGTCTTTCAGTACCAAAATGATCTCAAGCAGTTTAATTCTTCCCTGGGGATGTTTGTGGGGTTTGTTTGTTTGTTTGATTTTTGTGGATTTTGTTTGGGTTTTTTTGTTTGTTTTGTTTTTTGGGGGGTTTTTTTGGGTTTTTGTTGTTACTATTAAGTTTGGTGTTGCATACCATTTGGCAGTGGCAGGAGTTGACTGCACCTTTGAGGGGACAAGATGTATCTGGGATGTTTTCCCTTTGTCTGTGGTGTCTGAAGCGTGATCAGTGGTCTTTCATGGAGCTATCACATTGACAGCGTTGCCCCTATCTGTTTTGAAGAGAAACTATACAAAGCTGCAGCAATGCTTATATAGCAAAGATACAAAGTAGGTTGCTGGCAAGGGTTATATCTTGGTAGAGCTACCTCCTTTGGGACAGATGGAGCTGAATGGCTCCAGAGTGTCTAGGGAAGAATTAGAAAACATTTCATTTTCTCCATTGCCAAATTTGGAACTCTTCCCTTGCACAACAAACCAAAAAATTTCAATCACTTAGAATCATTTAGTAAAGAATCCTGGGTGGGAGCACTACTGGTGTGAAGGGTGAGACAGAATGTGCCAGCTGTTAAAAGACTGCTGTTAAAAGACTCATCATCAGAGAATGGCCTGGAAAGTAGAATTTGCAACAATGAATTGCAAATTACCATCACAAGGTAAAGATATTTCCACAAAATAATTCGTAAATTGGGATTCATGTTGAAATAAAGTACAATTTTAATTTGGCTATGTTGAAACAATAGGTCAATCATCAAAGAAATAAAAGAAGATATTCTGCGTCTTTAGTCCAAGATGTTTAAACTGCCACAGAACAGAATGTTAGTGTGATTTGTTTCTGAAGTGATGTTTATGATCATATGTCTTGAACTGAGTCAAGTCCTTCACTTTCTGTTGGAAGGTGACCTCCTTTTCTTCTCTCTTCCTCCCAATTTACTTATTTTGTTTCTCTTTTTGAGCTACTTTCCTTATCAAAAATAGCACAAATAGGTTCTCTGGCTTCTCCTATATTTGGTGATTATTTTTTGTAGCCTATTTCTCAGTCTAGTTCAAGACCCAATTAAGCCTACTGCAGCATTGGAAATGTTAGCTGAAATGCTGATTAGCTGGAAGAGACATGGTACTGCTCAACAGCAGTGTGGGTGCACAGAGGATTAGCTGGTGGTGTCAGAATAATTTTACTTCTAAGACATGTTATGATGACTGTATTTAGTACTGACTTATTCAAAGTACTGTCCAGAGGTCAGGAGCATGTCTGCCTCCCAACCATCATCCTCCTTCCTCCAGAGGTATTTAAATAAGAAAAGCAAAGAGGGCATGAAGAATTTCCCTAGTACAAGTCAGACAGCAGAAACGAGCAGTCCTGTCAAAGACCACAAGTATTGCACAATGCCTATGTAGAGCTACCAGAAACAGCCTCCCAGAGAAGAGATAGAGTGAAGGCTATCATCCACTTGGCCTTCCAAACTGCCCCCCAGATCTGTTCAGCTTTTGAAAGAACCATTGCAGACTTCTGGGGGAAGTTGATAAAGGAAGCTGGTGGTGTAGTTTTTATCTTTGTACTTTGTATGATACCTCTGAGGAAGGTCATGGCTTCTTCAACTCCAGTTCTGTAGCATCAGAATTGGTCCACCTCTTTAGCTCTTCCAGCAGAGCCAATTTAGTGTCCCCACAAATGTCAGAATTGTTTGCAGTGAAGGCTGGTATTCCTGTTGTGGAAGTACAGTTCTGTGATTTGAGCAGTTTTTATCTGCTAGTATTGTTTAAAGAAAGCAACAAAAATTTAACACACAATTAAAAATAGATTAGTGTTTTGTTTGGTCCTCCATACAATTACAAAACAGACACTGAAATGTGTTATAGCAATCAAAAGTTAATTAAACTTCTGAAAAAAATAACAGATTCAATGTGAAAGCTGTGTCAGATACAATTACTGGTTTTTATTGTGACAAGCGGAAATTTGCATCTATTAGGGGGAAAACGTAGCCAGATAAAAGACACACAATCTGCTTGCTTACTGTGATTGCCTAAAGCAAGTAAGAGCAGTGTTAGTTTCTTTCTCATTGGGCCTGTGACATTCAGCTACTCTGTTTTTTCCTGCTTGGGAGTCTCCTGAACCAAATCTTTGTCTGTATGATTGACAGGCATTAATGTTAAAAGGACTTCTGTATGGTGCTCCAGTGGAATCAACAGAGCAGTACATGCCATGGGCCCTCACTGTAACATGGTGGTGTTATTGCTTAGAAGCAATATGTTTATTCTTTATTTTCATGGAATTGAGCTGATCCCATATGCCCAAATGCTCTTTCTTGTGCAGAGCTAATCTTGAGTTTCAACACCTCACTCTTAATTCTGGAATTCAGAGGGAGGCTGAACAAAGTCATGAAGCTGACTCCATGAGGAGTCCCTCAGAGGTCAGCAGTTTTCTGCCTTACCATTAGGAATGGTATTGACATTCCTAATGGTTGATCCCTGCAGGTGTATCCAAAGGTACTTGCTTCCCTGATCTCTTGAGTTTGGGAACTGGGTTCTACACAGCAGGAGCACATGAAAACAACTTGGGTGTAGGACAGTACTGACTCAGTGGTGATGGAAGCAGCACCCAGCACTGAGCTAGAAAAGGGCAACCTTACGGTCGGAGGGCCTGGAGCAAACAGGATGGAAGTAGTAGAGCTCAGTGACAGTCAACAGATGTACAAGCTGTTTGCCATCCCTGAGCAAGCTCAGCAGGGTCACCCAGAGCCCCCCTGACCAGTCAAAGCCAGCTTCATCTTCCTGTGCTCTGTATGGAGCTGCTGACCACACGAGTT